CCCCCCCCCCCCCTCTCTGTTTGTCTCTTTCTCGTCTCTCTCATTCTTACTTCACTCTCTCTAAATGTCTCTGTCGTAATCTTCTGTCTCACCTCTTTCTCTCGAGTTGCGTCTTTTTCTTCACTTGCACTTTTCTCTCTGTCATTTTTGCTTTTTCCTGATACCTGCTCTTAAAGGACATTTTCAGTGTGATTAGAGGTTCTGCATCAGTATCGAAATCATTTTTGCAAGATGGCCATATGTAATGCATTTTGGGAAATGTGCTTTCTTTCAGAGTGTGATATGAGAAGATCAATCTCATATCTGTGTGTTAAGTGCAAAGTTGGGTTGTTTAGCCTGGCTTCGCATAAAAATTGACGGTGGCTCTGTCTGAATAATAAAGAAATACAGCTTCCAAAAGCATGGAAATGTATTGTGAGAGTTTGTAGTTTTAGGGGGAGTAAAGTATTTACTAGCAAACAACATCTGGGTGTAGGGACTTTGTGCTTAAACGGACATTTACACATTCTTCTTGATCGCCACTCTCATGTCTGTATGCTAAATATGATGCTACGGCCAGCAACCGCTTAGCTTAGCATTAAGACTGGAAAAAACAAAACAGCTAGCTGAGCTCTAAAGCTTACTAATTAACTCGGTATATTTAATTTGTTTCAATCCCTGTTACAATCTCTGTTTAATCTAATGTTGTGCATTAAATTCAGAGCTGGATTCAGCACCCGTCAAGCGTAAAGACTTGAGGAAGACCGCACTGACACGGCTAGTCTCGCTCTGTTCAAAGTTAGTACGCCCACCAACATCTCCAAAACTAACTAATTGGCATGTTTCTTCTTTTAGCATGTACGGAAGAGAAATTTAAGATAATAGCTTAAGAAGAGTTAGTAGGCTTGTTATTTAACTTTGGGCCGAGGCTAGTTGGGGGACCGCTGCGTACAGTGGTGCTTTGGGAGATCTTGGTGGCAGTAATGACTTCATGTCCCTTTCTGAACCTGCGTTGTTCTGTCAGTCTAAAGGGGCAGAATGTGTAAAAGAAATGAACAAATTCTCAAATCTCCCAGGAACCGTCCTTTAATAGTCTCGTTCCTCCTTCCCCTCTTCATCCCTCTGTCAGACAAAACGAAATAAGACTCGTCTCTTCTTATCGTCTTTCAGCTGGAAGCTTTGTCTGTGTCGGCCTTAATGAGAGGGGAAAGAGACACTTCCCGCTCCTTACCTCCTGCCTGCCTGATGGCAGTCCATTAGGCAGCTCAGGTCAAACTGCTCATTCGCTAATCGAGGGACTGTTGCCAGGGTCAGACGCCGAACGCCCTTTGATTCAGGCGGATGAGTGAGATTGGAGGAACTTGAGTTTTGCATGGTTGTGGCGTTGAGAACCTTTGACTCATTGCGTGGTACAGGGTGAATATTTGAGAACATGGTTGAACTGAAAGATCTTTATTGACCAGATCATTGAGACCTAAATGCAAGTTATTTTGACATCTGTTGAGCTAGGAACAGAAGGATCAGTATTTGACCTTCTGATTATAGGCATTGAGTATTTGCTTATTGCTATTGATTAGTTCAACTGGTCATTTGTTATTCAATGCTCGGTTAGAAATTTGTCAGAAAAATGTATAGATAACATGTTAATGTGTAGCTGTTTCTTCCCCCAAAGCTGCAAAAAACAAATCAATCACAGCTTAAAGATGTACATTATTTACCCTTACTTTACTTATTTTTATAAGAGCATTGCATTATATACGTTTGCAGCACCACTTCAGTCAGAAAACAGCCATTCTAGACAGAAGTGGATGTATTTGATACAATCTAAAAACCTTGGATTTAAGTTACTGCTTTGTGGAGTACTAGCTAACTACTTATTTTGTTTGGTCAATTTCATGTTCATGTTCTCGTAACTACAGTGGTGGAAAGTAACAAGTACATTTACTGAAGTACTGTACTTACTGTACTGTAACATTTTGTGGTACTTAACTTGAGCGTCTCCATTTCCTGCTTCTTTTTACTTCTACTCAACGACATTTATTTCATACCTTCAGTTACTTTGCAGATTTCGATTAATAATACACCATATAATCAACAAATGAATAATGATGTGTTATACATTATGACATACTCATAAATTAGCTGGCAGTTTATAGACTGAAAAGTGAGCTGCACCTTTAGCAGCAGCAACAAATGGGCCGTTCTGCATAATGAGTACTTTGTTACTTTAAAGGTAGACTGTGTAGGATTTAGTGGCATCTAGCAGTGTGTTTGCAGATTGCAGGCGAAGCGCGTTTTCGCTCTTAAATAAATCACAGTAAAGTCATTCTAGTGCATGGGGAGTTTTGTTTACAATTCCTGTATTTAGGTGATTATACACTAATGAAAACAGTGGCTGATAATAGCTAATAGAACCCCTATGTTACACACTGTACCTTTTAAGTATATAACTTGATGTTGGTACTTTCACTTAAGTAAAAAATGTATTGTAAGACTTTTACTGACAAAGTAGTGAAGTAAAACATCTGAGTACTTCTTCCACTACAGTCTAACTACACCTTAAACTTCTGTACTTGATTCTTCTACTACAGTGATTCTCACATTTTGTCACATTAGGGACCCCTAAACTGAGACAAATTAGACCACAGACCCCCATTTTATACGATTTTGTCTCAGGGTCCCTCATCGATAGGACTTTTAGATGTTTTACAAAGAAAGTGTATGAAATCCATGACCAAAATAGTCATACTTTATGTCATTGTGTTGCTTGTGGACAGAATTATAGTGAAAATAAATGATGAATGATAAATGTTTTTGCTAGGGACCCCCTGGGGCTCCCAACACCCCACTTTTATTGTTTAAGTCAATAAATAGAGGAAAACCTATAATCTCCTTAACGGTTAATAGCAAACAAAATGCACGCAACACTTTCTATCATCTCAGTCATACACTGAATTACAGCCTTATTTCATGCTTGTTTGTTAGTCATCAACCACATTTCTTATGAGACAGACAAAAAATTCCATTGGATCTCACTTTCAAACTGTTTTGCATCACCTCTGCTTTACAAAAAAAGCAACATAGCCAACAATTTTAAGCCCATTAAACTTTTTTCTTCCATCTATTTTCACCACACTGAGCACCAGCCACCCTCCCTCCTCTCCCCGCTGATCCAGTGCATCATCATATCGATGACTGCCAGCTTTTTTTGTCCACTTATGAGTCGCGGGTCCTCAGCGGCGTCATTTATCACACTGTCTGCTAGCTGATGGTCATACGTCACGCTCAGCTGTCATGACGAGAGCCGGAGGCGGGTGGGGGGGTTGGAGAAGGCTGTCTGATTTGGAGGTGGCCTCTGACCGCCTGGGATCGGTGGGAAGCCTCTCGCAGAGGTGGCTGCTGCCGTCAGAAAAGAGAGAGTTCCGGGGGAGAGAGGAGAGGAGAGCCAGCGCTCCTCCTAAATCTAATAAATTCAATGCAAAAGCGGCAATAAGGATATGTGTTTTGAAGATGCTTG